ATTGGTGGCGTTGCTTTCTTTCTTTTGTTTTTTTTTTGGTATACCCAGTGTATAAGACGCCTCCCAATTTTTGAATTTTTTTTTGGGGGGGGGGTTAAAAAGTTATCTTATATGCTGGAAAATATGGTAGTTCATTTCTATAGCCACCCATCTTAGCCTGCTGACTCTGGGAGGCGAAGATTCTAAAATTTGGAAATTAGAACTCTTATTGTGAATGGGGAACACGCTATTGCCCATAATTCATGGCTCCACTGGTCTTAGAAAAATGCACAAGCTTGTAAAGTTCGGAGCAAAACAAACAAACCTCAGTGGAGCTTTTGAGCTTTCATTAACCACTCTTACTAGGGAGGAAGTCAAACAGGGGGCAATGTCCCTTCCAGCTCTGTTATTCTGAGAGAGATATGCAACCAATAGCTAAGTCCTTAAGGTCCCCTGCATGACTCAACCATTCCCAAGAAGACAAATTAAAATAGCAAAGGCCTTCTGGAGGGTCAGAAGTTAGAGACTGTCCTGTTATTTTATAGGAAGACAATGCGGTGAAGGAAGGGAAAACGCCAGCTTCCTTCTAAGTAAGCCGCAACTCCTGAGTGTAAGTCCCTGCAGACTCAGGGATAAGTGTAAAGGCTGCTGTATAAAAAGGCCATGTGTGTGGGCTGAAGAAGAAAGTAGAAGAAACAGCAGATACCAGAAAACAACAACAATCAGAGATGCCTGTGGAGGAAGCCCCAGCTGGAATTATTGCTATCAAAGCCTATATAAACAGACTCGCCTAGCTTTCTATGCTGTCTGGCTAAGATCCAGCTCATTTCATGGCCACAGAATAGAACTGGTTCCTAATATTGAAAAGTGTTATTTAAAAGGAAGGAGGCAGATGAGCTTTTTTTGACTTTTGAGCCTAGAGGAACATATTTTTTAGGCCTCAAGGAACCCCCTACACTTTCAGGCTCAAAATTAGGCCTAAATTAGTATTTATTTTTCACATTTGTGATTGGCCCATCTCTCTCAAACTGGGATTCTGGGTGATGTACCATAAAATGTTAAAATGTGAAACAGTATCTATATATGTTAAAATTTAGGAGGAGGCAAGAGTGATTGAATACCATTAAAATTAGTTAAAAAAGCAAAGAAGAGGGTTTTCAGGGTACCAAACCTCTTGGCTGCATGCTCCTCTGGGCTCCCCACTCAAGGCTATGGAGCCATGTTTTAATTTCTTTAAAGAAGGCCAAGACAGTGGGATCATGTTTCATCTCCAGGGAAGAAATTATGCTGTGGCCCAGCAGGTGCCGTTGGAGCTGCCACCAGACTCCGACAGCGAGGGGCTCTCTGAGTCAGCTCTGGAGGATGTGGAGGACCCTGGACAGGGTTCCCACTCCGAGCAGGGCGCAGAAAAGCTGGTTGGCCACGAGGAGGCACCTGAGCCTTGGACCAGTGGGTAGGAGACAAGGGAGAGTGAGCAGGAGGCCAGCAGTGAGTTGCTCCTGGATGCACGCCAGCGAAGAGCTACTAGGCATAAGGAACAATTACGCAATTACAGGAGGTGATTG